GGTTAATAAGATATATGTATTTTCTGCTCACAGTATCAATTCATTATAAAGGCAGAAAGGTGATGAGAAGATAGAACTATAACAGCAACGACAGAATATTGTTTGTTTTGTTATCGAAATTCTCAGGGTTGATATTATTTGAAATGTATGGGAAATGGTACAGAGAACTAATATTTCGATCGTGGGAGTACGTGTAAAGGTTACTTCAAACCGCAGTTTGATTAGTTTTAAAGCAAACTGAAGGATTTGGCAAAGGGGAGCTCGATCTTTTAAATGCGATTGGTAGTCGCCTCCAATTTTTTTTACCAATGCCTTTCACCTTGAACATCAAGTAATTTTGTTAGAAATTATTTTTGTCTGTGTGTGTGTGTGTCGCAAATCATGCTTTTTTTCAGTTATCTTCATCTGAACCGATAGAATCAGCGACCCGTAATGTTTTCCTTTTAGGAGCAAGAGGATATGTTCACAGTTCTTGGTGGTGTTCTGAATATGGGTAACATCGCTTTTGAGATGGATGAAAATGAAGGAGCCATTGTTAAAGACGCACATGGGCCTCTAAGGACAGCTGCGGTCAGTTGAACTTTATCGTACTTGAAACTGCCATAAAATATATACATATATACTAAGCAAAACAAGAATCATTTAACCGTAACAGAGGATTATCTTTTTAAAAATAGCATGTTAGGACATGGATCGACAGAGAGAAACTTGAAAACATTTCGCGAACTTTTTTAAGATGTCCAGCCTGAGGTAACTTCGGTAGGTGTGACGTCTGTAATGATTGGCTTCGTAATACTGTTACCGCTTTTTTATGCCAAGATGTAGTTTTGTATCTTAAGCATCACTCAAAATATTTTCTTGACTTTTATAACCGAGAAAACAGCGGCACGAGTACTTTGGCAGATGTGAGGAGACTCTATCCGAGGACATATCTTAACTTTAAAGGGCAATCTGACCTACCCCAACATGTGGCTTCACTGAACCAAAATTAGACCATAGAGTTTCTAAAAGAATTATTATATTCTTCATTGTTTTGTTACGGCAACTCAGTTACCTACTTTTACTCTATTGATCTCGCAACAGAAACTTCTAGGTGTTGACACGGAAAAATTGTCAGAAGTGTTGACTTCCACATCAACTACAACCCGGGGCAGTGTTATTAAAAGAAGACTGAAAGACCATCAAGCCATGGGTAAGGGAGAAAGGTCCTCTTATGGTGCGCTTGGAAACGTTTTAGAATTTGGCGAAAGTCGAAGAGAATAGAGCTCAAGCGGATTATTTCATTATTGTTCGGGTTCACTAGATTCTGCACTCACTTCCTTTAGAAAATTGCTTCGATGGGAGAATGAGTCCGTTACTGATACTAAACAGACTAGGAAGCTCTGTTTCCCTTTTTTTCCCACTTTTACTCTGTGTAATTGTTTTCTCGTTTTGCAGCATGACCATGTCCGCAAAAACTGATTCCTGTTTTTTGTGGTATTATAGTCATAATATCAGTTTCATCGTCCGATATTTGATCACATTAACAGACGGTTACTGGCCAGCCTCGGTTTCCATCTCTTGATATTCCTAATAAGCTTTGACCCCATTGAATATAAATTAGGTACAAAATCAAACGGGTGTACTCAGTGTTGAATAAAGGCAGGCTGTGACAAATTAAGCAATGTTATTTTGAATTCCATAGATGTTCGAGATGCGACATCGAAAGCGATGTATGGTCGTCTATTTGGCTGGATTGTTAACAAAGTAAACCAGCTTCTAGCTCCGCCAATGAAATCAAGAGGAGAGGACGTAACAGAAATAGGTAACAGAAATAGGCTTGTTTGAAACACATATTACTTATGTTCCTTCTCAAAGACTAATGCGCCCAACAGTGTTTAGTTTCTGATTGTTATAGAACGCTTTTGGACAGTGTCATGCCAATTGCAAAGCCAGAGAAATCTGAACCAATGGCGGATCCAGACCTTGAGTTAAAGGGGGGAGGTGTGAGGGGGGGGGACGGCGCAGTTTTTTGTGTGTGCATACACCTGCCGACTTTTCTTTCTTCTGCGTTTAGTTTTTTTACCCAAAATAAGGCAAAGGCAGGGGGTGGGGGTGAGGGGTGAGGGAGGGATGGGGTTCCTCTCTTAGATCTGTCACTGTGTAAGGCCAATCAGAAGGAACCTTTACAAACTCAAAACAGATATAAGTAGTAGACGGCGTCAAGATCAAGTTAAGAAAAATGCGAGTAATGATTTTTAAGTTAATTGTAAGTTTTGTACTTGATTGGTTCACGTGAGAATGATTAAGTTTTCTGGACCAAACACAGAGCTAAATCAATTTAATAACGGGTTATTTAAAGGCTTTGACTAAAAAAAAATTGTATCATGAACATGTTTTAATAGAGTATATGTTCACCAGCAAGCGTTTTTTGGACGTTTTCTTTTTTCACAATTAGGACGGTTTCTAGGGAGTAAGTCATTATATATGTTTAGTGGATAGCGTTGAAGGCTCGCTCTGATTGGCTAGTCAAACTCCGAATATCCTTTGCTATTTACCTCCGAGCAACTCGGGAAAAAATGGCGTCCCGGTTTGCATCCGTTACAAGCGAAGAAATTACTCAAATTAATTTTTGGTGGTGTATATTATCTCACTGTTTTAGTATATACTAAAACAACTATTCACCTCAGTGTCGGTGGTTAGCGGTGCGGATATTTACCTGGCCGCTTCGCGGCTCGGTAAATATCCACCACTAACCACCCCCACTTCGGTGAATAGTTGTTAATTATTATATGGCTGTGTCTCACAAGGACTGGGAACTAACGAACTCGCGAATTTGATTGGCTGAAATCAACATTGAAAGCGGTGTAGATTTTCCCATCTCGGACCGGCATCTGGATCGGTCTAGAAAAAAAAGGTACAAAGAATATAAAAAATTGGCACATAAGACACAGCCATATAATAAACATCTTATTAACCGAGTTAGGTCGGTCTGTAATGGCGACCTCGGTCAAGATTCTCCCATACTGACCTCCCGCTCGGTTAATAAGAACTAAATATATATATATATTTTTTTGTAACCCGTAGGTATTCTTGACATATTTGGCTTTGAACATTTCGAGAAAAACAGTTTTGAGCAGGCCTGCATTAACTTAGCCAATGAGCAACTCCAGTTCTTCTTCAACCAGGTAAAAAAAGAAATTGTTTTGGAGAAATATTAGAACGGCAATAATGTTCTCTTTCCTGGGAATAATAAGCAACAAAAACAAAACCATATTAAAATACTTTTTGTTCCAGTCTCCCGATAGACAGTGAGGCTAAAAACCACAGAGTGCGGCCCAGAGATTATAATCTCTTGGTGCGGCTTGTCCTTTGATTCTATATTGACGCGAACCTCAGGTCGCACAAACTCCCTCGGCACTAGGGTTTGGATTTAGCTATGGCCAGAATCCGACTCGAAGAAATATAATATTTTCTGTGTGGAAATACAGCAAAGTATTGTAGGGTTGTATTGTCCGTCCGTGTAGGTCAATGGAAACACAGATGTTTTCTATATCTTGAGGAGACGTTAGTAAGGTCTATGCTTCGTAAGGATTTCCTCATTCTATGAAGGGTATTGTCCTTCTGTTTATTTAGCATGGGCTTTCGAGTCGAAGAGTTCACGACTTGAGTATTTCGTTCTGTATTCGATTCCTTTTTGATGGTTTGTCGTTTTGTTTTGTTCTTGTTCTTCTTCCCGTTGTTTTTCTTTTTCTTGTTCTACCACTCCTTTTCCTTTTCTTTCTTTTCCTACTTGTTTGTTTGCTTTTTTTTATTTTTTAAAGCGGCTCGCATTATGATTAGAAACCGCGTAAGCTCTGGCACTTGTACTGTCGACCATACTTCACGCTCTGAAATTTTGCTTGTATTCGTTGTTTGGTATAGCACATTTTCTTGTGGGAACAGGAAGAGTACAAAAAGGAAGGAATTGACTGGACGAGCGTCACATTCGCGGACAACAAACCTGTCCTGGTACGTGAGTGTAACGTTTTCCATTTGCTTCCAAGTTGGTCTTCAACCAGAATTTTGGGACTGGCATTTTCAACACCCCTGATTAGGTTTAGTCTTGTTCGAAATGACTTTAATATCCCAGGTGGGGCTGAAAATCGTATTTTTAGGCTGAAAAAGGGTTGGGAAATTATCTTTTGTAATAGGAACAAAGACACATGCTTAAGCTGTTTAGCTGCACTGTTAGGGTGATACTAAACTGGATTAACTACGACAAGGGCTAAGAAAATCATCATGCGATTTCTCTGAGAGAAGAACTTTAAAAAAGTTAGGTGACGATTTTGTCCAAAGACGAGAAAATTGTGTTTTGTCGATCCACAGGATTTGTTTCTCAACAGACCAATCGGTGTCCTGGCGCTGTTAGACGAGGAGAGTCATTTTCCGCAGGTTTGTGAATGCTTCGCTGTTTAAGTTTGTGCACAGAAAGAAAGCTTAGTAAGACAGATATTTCCAGTTCTAAATCATTAGCCTATTCGCAAGAATTTTCACAACGCTGTGAGAGTTGTTTCTTATGAAAGAATAAGTATTCTATGTACTTTTTAGGGAATCCAGTTACCAAATTCAAAGCGAAGCTTTAGCTCATATGTATTTCATTCCACTAATTTATTCGTGTTTTTCTCGTTACCATGTTCCCACCAATAACGTAGCTCCATTTTCTGCTTTTAAAAGCACACACAACCCACAATT